GATCCATTGCCTCACTCAACCTGTGGTTCCAAAGGCTTAGTGACACCTGCAGGATCTGGTTGCAAATGAGATTGTTTGTTGCAAGACACCAGACCTTACTTTCCACTGTGTGACTGGAAAACTGCATGAGTTAGAGTCAAGGTCACGGGCATGTGTGGTGGCCCCAAGTTGATAACAGAATATTTGTCGGCTATTTAAAGGCAAAAGGGATTTATCACGGGCACTCCTAGCTCAGAATCTTTGAGAAAAATGAGTAAGTGACTTAGTGTATTAGTCAGGGCTATTTAGTGGAACAATGAAATACAGAATGAGTATAGTGAAAGAATGAATATATAGATAATAATGGACTTATTAGAGTGACTTACAAGCTGTGATCCAGCTAGTCCAACAAGGTTTTCTACCAATGGACAGTCTAAGAATCCAGTGGTTGTTCAGTCCACGAGACTGGACATCTTAGCCTCTCTTCACTACATAGTGGAATCATGTAGAAGTAGGCTCTAAGGCTAGTGAAGGACTAGACTGCCTGTGAGATTGAGGGCAAGCAGGCAGAGATCAAAAGCTTCTTCCTTCCACATCCTTTATATATACCAGGTCCTAGTTAGGGTTACCATTGCTATGACAAAGCACCATGTGTGGGTGATGGTGGTGCACACCTTTCATCCCAGCTCTCATGAGGCAGAAGCACACAGATCTCTGAGTTTGAGGCCAGCCTTGTCTACACAGTGAGTTCCAGGACACAAAGAAACCCTGTCTTGAAGAAACAAAACAAACAAATCTAAAATGAGAGAGAGAGAGAGAGAGAGAGAGAGAGAGAGAGAGAGAGAGAGAGATGCCACAACCAAAAGCAAGTTGGGGAAGAAATGGTTTATTTGGCTTTTACTTCCACATTGTAGTTCATCATTGAAGGAAGTCAGGACAGGAATTCAAGCTGATACAGAGGCCATGGAGGGGTGCTACTTACTGGCTTACTACTTTTCATTATAAATCTGCATAAGATTGATTACCAATAACTACACAACCTAACAACATAGTCAGTACTAGGCTGCCTTGAAATCTCCTTTGCTACTTCCATTAAATCCCAAACTCTTCAATTTATCCTCAGTTGGATATTTTTGGACAAGAGCAGGAAGCAGCCACATTCTTCTTGAAAATATCACAAAAACAGTTACTACGCCATTTACTAATATTCTTTTCCTCCAAAACCTATTGATCCCGGCCATCATAATCTATATCACTTTCAGCACCACTATCTTTCATGCTTCTATGAGGATGGCCCAGGAAACCCTACATAAAGTGTTCAATAGCTTTTCTACTCCAGTTATCCAAATAGTTTATATTCCTACAACAAACATCATGGTTAGGACTGTCACATCAATACCCCACTCTTGGTACCAATTTCTGTCTTAGTCACTGTTCTATTGCTTTGAAGAGACTCTATGACCATGGCAGCTCTTTTAAAAGAAAGCATTTTAATTGGGTTTATTTAGTTCATTATCAGCATGTTGTGGAACATGGTGGCATGCAGGCAGCCACTGAAGCAGTAGCTAAGAGCTACATTCTGATCCATAGGCAGAGAGAGAGAGAGAGAGAGAGAGAGAGAGAGAGAGTGTGTGCGTCAGAGAAAGAAAGTGTGTGTGTGTGTGAGAGAGAGAGAGAGAGGGGGGGGAGAGGAGAGAGAGGAGAGAGTGCCAGGGTCAGAGAGAGAGGAGAGAGAGAGAGAGAGAAAGAGAGAGAGAGAGAGCCAGAGCCAGCCAGCCAGAGAGACAGAGAGAGGCAGAGACAGACTCTGGGCCTGTCATGGGCTTTTGAAACCTCAAAGCCCACCCCCAGTGACATACTTCCCCACATAAAGGCATGCCTCCTAATCCTTCTAATGTTTTCAAGTAGTGCCACTCCCTGGCGGCTAAGCATTCAAATATATGAGCCTGAGCCTATGGGTGCCATTCCTATTCAAATAACCACATTCTACTCCAATACTATATGTAGAGTTTGAAAAAAAAGGGGGGGGAGCACCAGGAAGTGTAATGGAGCACTAAGTGTAGTGCTCAAGGAGATAAAAGGTTTAAAGAAAAGCGCAGTGCTAAGTGGAATAAAGGGAGTGGTGACCTCAGAGCAAGGCCTCACCAACTAAGTTTTTGTGGAGGAAACCCAACAACAATTGAAAGCTGGTGTAAATGTAATTAAAGGAGGTGGCCAAGCTCCAGTCCCATCAAGCAGTAGAACTTGGGAGCTTTGGTCACATGGTTCTGGCTTTAGAGTTAAGGATACAGGAAAGGACTTGTGGAATCTCCCTCCATGGCTAAGAAAAGCTACTGAGGCTAGGGTTGTGTCAGGGATGTCACTGCTTGGAGGCCTGGAGAGGGCATTTTGTGAAGTTGTGAATGTGAAGCCTGGATTGCCTTAGAAATCCCAAGATGCTGGAGATGCCAGAGTTGTGGGACATCTTCCAAATAAAGCTGCAGATTAGGTGTGGACCCAGCCCAAGAAAGAGAAGTGAAGTTGGAGATCTGAAGGGTGCTTTGGCATCAGACATAGAGACACAGTTTGGCGTTTGCCCGGCTGGTTTTCCATTTCACTTTGGTCCAATACGTCCTCACTGTGCTCCTTTCCTCCCATTTGGGATGGTAATGCATATCCTGTGCTGCTGTATGTTGGAAGTATGTGATTTGCTTTTTGATTTTGATTTTATAGGGAGTGATATTTAAGAGATTGCCAAGAGTCTCAGAAGAGACTGTGAACTATTAAACAGTGTTGAGACTATGACAAGCTATGGGTACTTTTTAAGTTGGACTGAATGCATATTTTGCATTATGAAATAGCTATAAGACGATGGGGGCCAGAGAGTAGAATGTGGTGGTTTGAATAAGAATGGCTTCATAGGCTTATATATTTGAATGCTTAGTCACCAGGGAGTGGCACTATTTGAAAAGATTAGAAGGATTAGGAGGTATGACCTTGTTGGATCAAGTGTGTCACTGGGGGTAGGCTTTGAGGTTCCAAAATCCCATACCAGACTCAGAGTCTCTCTCTCTCTCTCTCTCTCTCTCTCTCTCTCTCTCTCTGCCTATGGGTCTGTCTCTCTGCCTATGGGTCAGGATATAGCTTTCAGCTACTGCTCCAGCAACCATCTATATGCCACCATGCTCTCCACCATAGTGAAACTGTAAACAAGCTTCCTATTAAATGCTTTCTTTTATAAGAGTTTCCTTGGTCATGCTGTCTCTTTATAGCAATTGAACAGTGGCATTCCAGAACAATAGAACTAACTGAGACATTCTGGAAGGTGTGGTCCAGACTAAAGATGGATCTTCCCACTTCAGAAGATTTAATTAAGAAAGATCGCTCACAGGTGTACCCATCCACTTGTTTAGTTAATTCCAGATATAGTCAGGTAATAACCAAGGGTAACCATCACACTGAGGAATGGCATTGTGAAATGAGACCATCACTTGAGCTGTTGCTATCACTAGTTTCTGAGAACCATGTTACCTCTGTCTGCTCCATGTTCCTTTTCAACGAGTGGCTTGGAATCAATCTCATGAGTGTGTTTCTGATTGGTTGGATCTAATTTTTTTCCAAAGCCATAGCCTCAAAGGAGTCTGGGAAATGTTGTTAACATGCCTGTTACTGTAGTGCAGATGGGAGAGAAATAACAAGGACATAATCCTTACATTTGAGATGCTCACCATTTGGAAGGGCCATAGACACAAAGACAGATTATGATAACATGATGTTATTTGTTCTAATTAAGATAGTGTGTAGAGCCCAGGGGTAGGGACCACATGAGAGCTCCCAAAGGTGTAGGCCATTGACCTAGGTTCTGAAGCTGTGTTTTCTGAGTGAGAGACAGAGAACAGAGCTCAGAAACAAGAGGGAAGCAGGGAGAATGAGTTTGATATTATGAAGATCCTCAATTCCTAGTTCTTATGAATTCTGCCTAATTCTTTCATGACATAAAGATACAGTCAACTGATTTTAGAAATAGGAGATAATTCATTGTACAGAACATTTTTTGTCTACTTTAGTGGCCTTGAGCATGTTAGGCAAGCACTCTACTCTCCAGCCCATGCTTTATGGTTTTTAAATGAGCACACTAGCATCTGCTTGGCAATAGGGTACACATGCAGTGACTGCTGCCATGGTTGGAAGGTGTTGAGACATGCTCCAAGGATGCCGACATTCCCAACACCTGTTCTGGCTCTGTGATGGTTCTAGGTGCCTCTTTCACCTTGGCTCTTGAGGGTTATTTGTCAAGAGACCACTGACCCCACAGTTAGTGCGGCAGGCCCTACAGTCTTCCTGATTCATGACTGAGGCTGCCTTGTGACCCCATGATCCTGGTTCCATATGCTCAGCTGCAGAACCACCTTAGGAGTTGGAGAGACCATTGGGGAAAGGATCACCTGACTTCTGCACTGGAAGGTGACTCCTTACTCCAGGGCTGTAGGTACACCCGATATTATGATAAGCAGAAGGCTCAAGAGCAGCCATGTCTCAGAGACAGCACTGCCTGAGCATTCAAGCCAAGGAAGCAGATGGGAATGGAAATACTGTGTCAATGGAAAATCTGTGGCCATCTCAACTCTGCCTGTGGCTGTGTTGTAGGATATTGTCCTAAGAGTGAGAGAAAGGCAAAAGGGTCAGGAAAGGATAGGACAGCTCACTGCCTGCCTCCCAGATTGGCTGCTGGGTGCTGCCTGTCTCCTGCTCTGTCTGTTCAGAGGGCACAGATCCGACCCCTGTCTCCTCCCTCACAGCCTTGCAATGAAACCTGTGCCTGCCTTCCAGTGTTGGCAGAAGTGGGCTTTGTTCCTGTGCTTGCTTACAGTGTAGTATGGTTGCTCCTACTAGAGCCAGCCCCTAATGGGTCCTGTGGGTTGGTTGGTTGGTTTTATGTATTGGACTAGGCTTAGTTCTTTCTCTCAGAAGGACCCTTGGTAAATCCTAGAAAACCCGGGCTGCTGCTTCTCTGTGTAACCGTTGTCTCTGTTGGTTCTCAGGTACTTTGAATTTTACAAGGGGCCTTTAGAATTTAACTCCACGAGATGCCTGGAACTGAGGCAGGAGATCCTGGACGTGAAGGTGCTATCCATGTGAGTGTGCCTGGGCTGGGAATGGGTACAAGTTGCATGTGGTGGTGGGGGAGGTAGAACTCAGAACTGAAGGAAACGAGAAATACAAGGTAGATGTCAGAGCCTGAAAATTACATCTTCCACTGGCATTAGAAAGCCCTGGAAGCTGTTTAATAGCAAAGGCCAGGTTTGCAAGGTCACCTTCAGCTGACTGGGTGTGAAACACCCCAGCTCAGTTACCAGCTTCCTCGACTGTCATTGCAGGGTTCCTATTGTAAGTGGAAATCCAAGAGGCCTGGGAGTACCTGACCCGAAATTCAGTATTTTGTACTGTTGGGTCAAGCCTTGCCCACTTGATGTTGTCTTTTACTATTTTAATTTCCTTGAAAGTTTTGATGTGTCAATTCTTTAAGTGATAGAAAATCCAAGTGTTGAAAACTGGTATGTGATGAAGTATATCTCTCTCACAGACACCAAGTTCTGGTTCCTGAAGGTCCAGTATGTCTTTCCAAAGTGTCGCTGCACAAACAACATCTCTGTGTGGAGATTCCTTCCATACACTTCTATAGAAATGGCAAAGGAGCACCCCCATTCCATCCCATCCCACAGTCCGTCACCCACAGTGCTCCCACAGTCCGTCACCCACAGTGCTCCTACAGCCAGTGGAAGGATCTTCTCTTTCTTCCTACAACTCCCAGGAATCCAGGGGACCTTACTAGAGGAATCTGGATCATAGTTATGTCAGGGTCTGAATTCATTTGGAACCATTACATCTGGATGTAGACAAAATCAAATTTATACAAAAGTAGTGTTGGATGCTTCTATGGACTCATGGCCCCCTGACATGATCCTGAGGACTGGGATCATTCCCATGGCTAGCAGACAGAAGTCAGGTAGTGTGGATCATGGAGAAAGGATAGGCAGACCAGGGACTGAACACTGATTCTGGGCCTTATCAGCTCAAATTATCAGGCAAATTACTTAATTTCTCTGAGTCTTTCCTAACTCATAAAATGGAGGTGGCATTATCTACTGCTTAGGCATTGCTGCTGACTAGCAGAAATAGTTTGTAACATAGATAGCAGGCATCGCCTAGGGGATTGGGGTTGCAGTGGCTCTCAATAGATGTGGATATTCTATTCTCTTTCCTTCCATTTCTTTCTCTTATGGCAACAGCAGTTTTTCTGAGTTATACACAGAATCTGTGTCAGTGAACTTTCCATCACTGTAGCGAATATATAACGAGGTAATAACTTGGAGGAGAGCACACCATGTTTGCCAAGGAAGGGCAGAGAGAGTCCTGGTGTGTAGGGTGGTAGTTGTTAACTAGGCCAAGAAGATTCCAAATGGGACAGTCTGTATGAAGCCTTGAGACAGGAAGGACTGTGCTGGGTCCTGGCTCTGAAGGACCAGAGTAGCTTGTGGGTCAGCATGTGAGGGGGAAACAGAAGCTGTGGCACCAGAGGAGTCATGGTGCACCTATGTCTTTTTTCTGAGGACCGTGGGACCCTGTGGAAAGGATTTAGGAAGTATATAGGAGTACAGTCTGATAGACATTTTGGAATACTTCCAAGGAGTTACATGACAGTGCCTACCCAGACCTCAATCAGGAGCTAAATTCAGAAGCGGAAGGTCCCTGCTTATCTTTTCTCAGAATTAAAATATTTGAGATCTTTACATATTTGCCCAGGATCCCAGAGAACTCTTGTTGGCAGTGTTCCTCCGAGTTTTCAAAGGAAAAACAGTTAATTTTCAAATTAGAAACCGAAAATCTCTTCGTGGGTGCTCCAAGGTCTGGACAGGAAGTGCCGAGGAAGCACATGAACTGACTGTCTTCATAATTTCCCTTCCTTCTTCTTACATATTTTCTGCGTGATGTTGTTGATGCCTACATCAATTTTCTGGGGCCACCACCATCAAATTCTATTATCAAGTCATGTAGTTACTTTTCTTTTTCCATCTTTTTTGTACGTGTGTGCACATGCATTGGAGGCTAGATGTTGATGTTAAGAATCACCCTTCAGTGTTCTTCCATCTGCTTCATTGAGGCAGGGTCTCAGTCAAACCCAGAACTCAATGATATGGCTGATCTTGCTAGCCGGCATGTGGTAGAAATCCTCTATATTCACCTTCTGAGCTGGAATTATAGGCATGCCACCATGCCTACCCAGCATTTTAAATGAATTCTGGGGACCCAAACTCTACACTTCATGCTTGCAGTCTCTTCAACCCCAGATGAGTTGTTTTTTTTCCTCCTTGTTCCGGAAGCAGGAAGATGAAGAGTGGGAGTCATAGGGCCTCCCTTCCCGGCTTGCTCAAGGCCACACTTTCACTGTGTCAGTCTGTGTCGTGTGTCTCACTCTCTTCTTACAAGAACATCAGTCGTACTGGACCAGGGCCCACTCCAGTGACTTTATTCCCCCCTAGTTTTGACTCTAAAGACCCCCTTCTCCAAATACAGTCAGGGTACTTTGGTTTGAACCTACAAATACTTTTGGGGATGTAAAGAGCAATGTCATATTTCCCTGTGCCTGTGACCACCCTTCTCCATAGTCATGGACTCTTTTTTTGGTGGTGTTTTGTTCCTTCCACAGTTGCATTAGTTCTCATCTCTGCCTTTGGGACTTCCTCAGGATGGATTCCTAAGATGAAAAGCAATCCCAGCTGACAGCCTCAGGCTTAGTCAGTCTGTCTTCCATGGCAGCTCTCCTGTCTGGGGACTTGAGTTGTGGAAGTACAGGAAGAAGTAAAGGCAAGATTAGGCCATTCACAGGGTACCAGTTGTGTCAGTCTGGTGTGTCAGGGAATGGCAAGCCCAGTGCCCCACCCCCCTCCTGAGTAATTCCCAAACTGAGGGTTTGTGGGTCCTCCATGAGAGATATCAGAGAGCTCAGAGGCTGGCTTCTGTCCAGGGAGGGGTGCTAAGCTCCAGCCTCATCTCACAATCTGGACCACAGCAGGACTGACCCGAATAATAGGAAAAAGGTCAAATCCCATCTGTGAATGGAGGCAACTGGGTGCATGCACACATGTCCCTTCAGGCACACAGAGTGTCAGCAGGTATTTTGTCTGAGGACACAAGGATTCCTGTAGGAGTAATTTTGACCTAAACTTTCTCAAATCAATGGTAAAAAATCAGTCAGCCAGAAAACCCCCACAGGGAAAGTGTCCTCTTTCCTGACACTGTCTGAGATACGAGGAATCAGTCTGAGATTGTTAGTCATGACAGTGTCAGTTGCTGATTCTTGTTCAAATTATTTATGTTTGATTCTAGTTGTGTGAGTGTCTTTGTTTTTAAAGGTAAATCTTCAGTTGCTGCCCATGTCCACACCCACATGGGGGTTTTGCTTGAGAACTCCGTGCCAGCATTCCTTCCCTACCCTTCTGGGCTGGGCTTGGTGCAGAGTCCAGCAATGAGGCCAAACAGAGCAGCCTGGAGCTGTGGCCACTGGCAAACAGCCCCACTCCCTGGGCTGGGAGGTCCTTCATGCCTCAGGAAGCTCAGATCCAGAGGGCTTTCAAAAGTCTGTGCCATCTGCCAGGTCGGGGTTCAGTGTAGTTAGGCCCTGAGCTCAGGGACCTTGGACAATGAGGGGACTCAGCAAGCACTTGTACAAAGAACAAGTGGTGGAGAAAGCAGATGAGAATGGAGAGTAGGCAAACACAATAGGCGCTGGGAGACGTGGGAGAACAAGGGAGGCCAGTGAGATTACCATTGTGGTAAGGATAATCACAAAAGCTTATAGCACTAAACATCCAGGCCTCGCCTCCTCATCACGGATCCAATCCTTTGGATTCTCAGCTGTTTCTTCTGTTTAGCATGAGCGTTCTGCAGCACGTCTCTGACACAGCACCCCTAGCAGCCTCTAAATGTTTTCCGTATGAACGTGCACATGGAACCAAGGGTAACCGACCCTACCTGGAAGAGGCAGAACAAGATAAACCACCAGGTAAAGTGACCACGGAGAAAGCCACTGTAAGAAAGCCCTCCTCAGGTATGTAGGCATGCTGCTGGGGATCCCTGCCCCCCTCCTGCCATGTTCATAGATCTTCAACTTTGGTAGGTTTTGGGCCTTCCCTCAGGCCCAACCCTCTCCTCACATCTTCCCAGTTTAAAGGTGCTGTGGTTGGGGTGTGGTTTACCCCCAAGGTGTTATGTGGTGGAGGCTTGAGGTGGTGGTGGGTCTTTAAGAAGTCAGTCCAGAGGGAGGCAATTAGATCACTGGGGGCATTGCCTTTAGAAGAGATTGAAGATGGTTTCACAGAATGATTGCCTTTCATCAAGACTGGGCTGCAAGGCTGGGGAGATGGTTCAATTTGTAAAACCACACAAGTACCCACACAAGAGCTAGGTATGGTGGTGTGCTCCTGTAACTCCAGTGCTGGAGGGACAGGGGCAGAAGGACCACTGGATCTCCTCTGGCTGGCTACTGTGGCTGGGTTGGTGAGCTCCAGTGTGCCCAAAAATGAGATGGAGTGTGACTGAGGAAGACAGCTGATGTTGGCTTCTGGTTTCCATACACACACATGCCTGTGCATCTGAATGCACACGATCAGACATGAACACACACACACACACACACACACACACACACACACACATAGTTTTTATATAACAATAAAAATATAACTCTCCAACCCCACTCCCTTA